TGCCATTTTAAAAACAGAGGACAATATGGCTTATGTATGGTTGGATTTCAGATAGGTCCTGGTTATTTACTCGCTAATAGTGTCAGAGTACCCAGGTTTCTCTGGGTGTTGTTTCCTTAGGACAGGGTGTCTAGCCTTGACACAAAGAGAATATGAGTGTGTTGACTGAAAAGCTGATATGTATTCAAGAGAGGGTTTATTGATATGATGTCTGGTCTTGATGTTAAAGATCAAGTTCATGTATTAGAGGAAAGCTTTTAGGTTTTTCCTTGTCTTTAGAAAACATTTTTATAATTAGTAATTATATGTTGAGAGTTTAATTTTCTCCTTCCTAAGAACTCATTGAGTGATTAAAAATGATCTTGGAAAGTTGTTTAAGCTAGATTTAAATCTTAAAATGAAGACAGGTTCATTTATTTTAATAAAATAAAAACGTGGTTTGTTTGTTCCTTTGTTTATATAATAGTGATCTGGTTCACCAAAAGTGTTTATGACTTAATTTGTGATATGGATACTAAAATCTTAGGGCAAGAACAAAGGGGTCAGACTACATATGAAGATGTAATTTCTGGACTAGAACTCTCAAGATTTCTAATACTTATCCTTCATGTCAGTAAGAGAAATACATGTTTTTCTTTCATCTTTCTTAAAATCAGAGCTTTAGGAAGCTGATTGTCAGGAAGAGGTAGGCTTTATCTCAGGAATGAGGCCTGTGCTAATGCAGATAGAAGAAATTAATATTTGCCTTTAAGAACAAGTCTTTGGGGAAGTTGGCCTGTGGAGCTTCTTTTTTTAAAACAATAAATGTTTGCATTTTAGTTTCCTTCCTGCCTTCCTTCCTTCCTTCGTTCCTTTCTTCCTTCCTTTGGAAAAAAACTCTGCTTTGGGACAATGATTATAAAAATCTATCCTGTGACCTGAAAGAAAATAGAGTGTGGAGTGTTTATCTTAAATTCATTTCAATATGAGATTCTGACTCCAAAATATTATATCCTTAAAAAAGGAATTTATGTGCATAATAAGTAGCCCACTTAGTTTTGGCCTTGATTTTTTATTTTTGTATTGTTTGAGTTGGGGAAGAGGTTATTTCTATGTTGCCAAGGCTGGTCTCCAACTCATGAGCTCAAGGGAGCCTCCTGTCTCAGTCTCCCAAGTAGCTGGGACTATAGGTTTATGCTACCACAATTGGCTGGTCCATGATATTTATTCTTTTATTTTCCCTTACTTATAGATTCTCTATCAGACTGTGGGGTGGGATAAGGATAACTTTTTCTTTCTGATAAGGGTCAATGACACCTGAGGGTAGGATAAGGGAAATCCAGAACCAAATTGGAAAATCAGATTGAAAAATAATAGAGCTTTTGTTTAAAGTGTTAAAATAGAAAATGTTATTCTCATAAGCCACTCTCCCCAATTTATTTAGTGTGGTAAAACACTCATAATTTACCATCTTATTTTTAAGTATACAGTTCCGTGGTATTAAATACCTTCATAATGTTATGTAATTGTCACCACTATCTATCTCTATAACTTTCTGCCTTGTAAAATTGAAACTCTGTGTCCATTAAACAATTAGTCCTCTTCTCCAACCTCTGGTACCCACCATTCTACTTTCCTTCCTAAGCTTCTTAAAGAGACCCTGTTCAGATATAGTCAGTAGTGATAAAAGTATTTTGTTATATTACATGTAGTTAACAGAAACATCACAAGAAATATTAGCTCCAAAACTAGAGAGACAAAAAAAAAAAGAGGAAAAAGAATTTACAAATTGAAAGTTTTGAAGAGAGTTGTAAAAGAGAGACGTGCAAAGAATGTGCTTCAAATATGTATGTTGTCTTAGCTTTCTGTTGCTGTAATAAATATTGAGCAAAATCAACTTAAAAGGAGGAAGGGTTTATTTTGGCTCATAGTGTTAGAGGTTTCAGTCCATGGTCACTTGTCCCTGTTGTCTTGGGGCTATGGAAAGGAGGTACATTGTGGTGGGAAGTGCATTACGGAGGAAACTGCTCACTTCTTGGTGTCTGAGAAGCAAAGAGAGACAGGAAGGGGCTGAGTTCCAATTTTCCCACCAAGGGCATTCCTCCACAGACTTAACTTCCTTCCACTAGGTCCTAACTCCTAAAGGTTCTATCCATCCAAAGAGCAACACATGCTGGGGATCAGCACATGGCCCTTGAAGAACATTCAAGATCCAAACTAAAGCATGTTTGCTGCCTATCATTTAATTCACACCTGTTTCTCTTCCAGCCCTTAAAGATGGTTTTCATTTTAAGAATCCAAGTTCAGGTACTTCTCCAATAAGTGTTTGACTTCAGTTTTATCATGTGATCAAATTGGTCATTAAAACTACTATAAGTATATTTGGCAAACTAACCAAAGTACTTGCCAAAACCTTGAAATGTTATGATTAACTCAAAGTTCAGCCAATAAATAAATAAATAAATAAATTTCTTAAATATCTACCTGATCGTTTCTTTAGTGTCCCTGCCCCCCTTCATAAACTCCATAAAAACTTAAATTAGAGGGCTGGGTTTATGGCTCAGCAGTAGAGCACTTGCCTAGCACGTGGGAGGCCCTGGGTTCAATCCTCAGCACCACATAAAAACAAATAAATAAATAAATAAAACAAAAAGTATTAAAAAGAGAGCAGTAATCCTATTCCTAAAGGCTCTATTTAAAAAAAAATACATTAGAATAAAATCTACTGACCATGCAATTCGTTAACAAGCTTCCAAGAGACTAAAAAATAGTTTTAAATGGTTGAACGTATTTTTTTATGCATTGAGTGGCTTTGTCTATATATGATTATGAAGTTTTCATTAATTTCTTGGGAATGCATTCAATGCTGTATGTTAATTTGTAGCATAAAGGAATGTCTGTTCTTTCATGTTGTAAAGCTTTGATAAAAAAATTCTACTTAGAAATCTTAAAACTACAGCTTTTTGGTTGTTTTTTTAATAATAACAAGCATAAACAGGGATGACACTTGGCACTTGACCCATGGACAGCATGAATCTAAGCCAAGGATTAGAAATTATCCCCTCCCTATTGGGTGACCTATGGCCATTGAATTGATTGCAACTGTGCTGGTGTGACATACTTGAGAACAAAGTGATTCCTCATGCTTGTTGGTGGGATGAGAGTGATAATAGTATTAGCCATTTAGATCCCTTAAGAAACATGACAATGCTGATCAAGCATTGTAGTACTTTTCATTCACAAAAGTGCTGTATAATATTTTAGTTTCATTATTTTCCTCCCAAACCCAGTTTTATTACATATTTCAATCACTTTGTATATGATCAATTAAGAAGTTTTTCTTTAATTATATTGGCCAGATAGTAGTATTTTAATTCTGTAAGTCTCACCTGTTTTTTTAAAACAAAAAAACTTAAATTCTAAGCAGTTATATAGTTCATTCTTTTTAAACATTACTGACATATAGAGAGTGAGAATTTAAATTCTATGCCTTACTGAGAGAAAACAACTTTTTTGTATGTGTGTTCATGATTGAACCTAGGAAACTCTATGACGGAATTATATTCCCAGCCCTATTTTATTTTGATGATAGGGTCTTACTGAGTTGCTCAGGCCGACATCATACTTGTGATCCTTCTACCCGAGTCTTCTGGGTAGCTGGGATTATAGGAGTGTGACATCATGCCCAGCAAGAAAACATTATTAATAGTTTGGTGTTTGTGCTTCCAAATATTTTCTCAAGATGGACAAAATATATAATTTTTTTCCCTCCCTAAAGCATGCTTTTTAATCATGTACTATACTTTAACTTCCCCCTACCCCCAGTTCTGTTAGGGATCAAACCGAAGGTCTATACATGCTGGGCAAGTGCTCCCCCACTAAGCTATACCCCAAGCACTATTACTCTTTGACTGTTGATTTATACTTGGATTATTTCCAGTTCTTTTCCTTTATAATCAATAGCAGTGGAATTCTTTGTACATGGACTTTTTTGCATGTATGCAAGTAATTTTTTTGGCTAGATTCCTAAGAGTGGAATTGCTGAAACAAAAGATACTTCACTTAAAATTCTAATATTTGTGATTCAGTTGTCTCTTAAAAGCTTTTAGAAATATACATCCTCCCAACTTTATATGAAAGCAGCAACCATTTCCCAAAACCCTGATCAACATGAATCTTTCCCCTACTTTTGGCAATCTGATGGTATGTCATTACTCCAATTTGCATTTCTCTAATAAAAATGTGGTGTATTTTTTCATATGTGTATAGGCCATTTGCTTCTTTTATGATTACCCTTTCAGTCTTTGCTTGGTTTTCATTTTAGTTATTTTTTTCTTGCTTGAAGATATATGTATACAATATCCTTTGTTCAGTATGTTGAAGATATTGTCTCCTAGTCCATCATTTATATATTGTTTTTAGCATCTTTGGTCAAATAGAAATTTTCTGTTTTAAATAGTCATATTTGTCTTCATTTTCCTTCATAATTTTTGGATTTTATGCCTTATTTTAGAAAATTCTTCTTTAAGATTATAAACAGCTTTTGCCATATTTTAATTTTTAGTTTAAGAAAGTATCTAGCTCTTTATTTAGTTTTGAGTTATTTGTATATAAAGGGTGAGACTATAACCCTTTACCCCCCATGAATATAAAATGATTCCAATACTGTTTATTGAATAGTGTTTATTCCTTTCTATATTAATTTCAAAATTTTATTATGTTATTAATTCCCATATATAGATGCATATGTTTTTTTGTAGTTTCTTATCATTCTGTTGATTTGTTTATTTCTACATTATCACCATACTATTATGATATTTGATAAGGAAAATCCTTCCTTAACTCTTTTTTTTTCCAAAAATATTTTATCTAATTACAGCATTTACTTTTCCAGAAGAACATTATAATCTAACAAAACTTATCTTAATGATTGTTATATGAAATTTCACAGCTTTGATTTTATTTTTATATGTAATTTTATTCATTCAATAATCTTTATCTTTTTTCCCCTCATATTTCAGAGTTCTGTGTGTGGAAACTCAAATGAGACAGTTCAGCCTAGAAGGGTAGTAATTTCTCATAATATGGATAAAGCTCTGAAAGAAGGTAAGAATTAAGGTAAGGTAAGGCAATCTGATGGCAATCTGATGGTATGTCATCGCTCCAATTTGCATTTCTCTAATAAAAATGTCCTGTATTTTTACATATGTGTATGGGCCATCTGGTTCTTTTATGATTACCCTTTCAGTCTTTGCTTGGTTTTTATTTTAGTTATTTTTTTCTTGCTTGAAGATACATGTTTAAAATAGTCTTTTGTTCAGTATGTTCAATATGTAAGGATAATTACTACATAAAGCAATTCATTATGTTTTAAAAGGAAAATAATAATCTAGCAAATTAATCTATCCTTCTTTCCTATAGCATTAGGAATTTTTCTTCATAGTTTATATTTGATGATTAAATAAATGCATTCATATTTTGGTTGAATGAAACGGATTAAGTATTTATCGGGTATGAATTTCCAGATCACAGGAGGTTAGCCAGTCAAGTGGAGCTTCTTCTGCCATAGAAAGCACAGATCTTTGCTCCCTAAAATAGGGATCAGGAAATCATTTTTTTCTTCTAGATATAACTTACAGAAGGTATGTTAGGGATAAATAGACTCAGTCTCACTCATGGGCAAACCATTAACCAAATTAATTGATAGTAGTTAGTCTTACATAAGAATGAAGAGAACATATAAGTGAAACTTATATTGAGAGGATATCACTTTTGGGGGGTTTCCTGTGTTGTTATTTTTGATCCTGTACTGAACAACATGAATGCTATTTTTTAAACACTCTAGATTCTTTTATCTTTCTCTGAAAAATGCTGAGTTTTTTTTTTAATATTCAGTTTAGCTATTGACTGATCACCTTGGAGACAGTTGATTTCATACATTTTTTGGGGGGCTGGGTCCGTTTGGATTTTGTCTTTAGTCCAAGGTGAATCCTTTTGTCCTAGCAGTCAGTTGTGAGTCTCAGTGGGAGACAGTGGTTGAAGTTATCTGCTAGGCTCTTCAGTCCTCCTGCCCTTGCTTTCCTCTACTTTGCGTGGGTAGCCAGACTTAGCAATGGGTTTGAGGATTTGTACCTAGTTATTGTATCTCCATCCTTTTTTATTTTTTTCCTGCCTATATTTTCATCTTCACTGGCAACTCCTATTTTCTGTTATCTGTATCTTAAATGATAAGATATAATAATTCTGATTCTGGTATCTTTAATAATAATAATAATTATAACCACAACAATTATAAAATGCAATCGTTCTGAGTTCAGACTACCTTATGCCTCTAATAATGTGGTTGCCTTTAGGGGAAAGCATTAAACCACGACTCAAAGAAAAGACCACTGACTCCAATTTTAAATCAAATAAAAGCAAGCTTATAATTCTGACTGGAGGGGACTGTCCCTCCCAAAACCCATGGGAATAGAAGACACTCTAGGAGTGCAGCTTTATAGCACAGAAAGTTGCAAAAAAGGTGGTGGGGGGCGTATCTTGAGAACTTACAGATAACAAGATTTTGATAAGCATAATACAAAGGCAGGTAGTAGGTTAATGGTCTAAATGGTTCAGTACTTAGGGAGTTAATTTAGATCCCAACATCAGAATTTATGAGGCACCAATAGGGTTTCAGAGAGGGTTGTTATCAGGCCAGGGAAAGCTAGAATTTATGAGGCGCCACTGAGGTTTCAGAGAGGGTTGCTATCTGGTCAGGGAAAGCCAGGCATGGGTGAGTTCAAGGCAAGGGCAGGCATTCCAAGTAAGTTTAAAACATCAAAATACGGCCAGGCCAAATAGAAATCCTACTATTTTACAGAAAACAGAAATGAATGTTTTATAACTTGTGGCTCCTGATCTTAAGAGGGAATCAGGCTGGGTTTATCAAAACTTGTACAGAAACATATCTTATTCAGTACCATTCCCTTCTTTCAAGGGTAGATTCCTCTCCAGTGCCTTTAAATAATTCTTTGATGTTTTTTCCAGAGTTCCTAATTGTATTTTACTGTAAGAAGATTAGTCTGATATAAGCTATTCCAATAACTCTGAAACTGGAACTTTATCCTTAATTTAAAAAAAAAAGTTAATGGAATGATTGTGTTTTAATGTTTCTTTCCTTTTTAAGGCTGAATAATATTCCATTGTATATATGTACCACGTTTGTTTATCCATTCATCCATCAGTGATTGTAATTTGCATATCTGGAGTATTTAATTTACATTTAACTGGAATTCAGGATATTATTAGCTAGCTATAATAGACTTAGTGTTGATAAAATTGAGAGTCTCTGTGTGTTTTCAAAACTTAAGTAACTGTACACTTGTTCAGGCTTTGGCTATTTCAATGCAGTTGATTTGAATTGCTCATGAAGTATTTATTTAAAAATTTCATCCTAAAGTTAATTTCAACTAGATGATAATATTATACCATTTTATCTTTTTATATTTACTTTATTGCTTTTAGAATATATAATTTAAAAACAGATTTGTTCAAAGAGTCTTGAGTAAAATATAAAGCATATGTGCGTGTGTTTCTGCACAGACACGTTTTACATTGTGTACGTGGATTTTTTGTTACTCAAGTGTTTCTGATGTAGCTCAGTTTAAGTTTGGGTTTATTTTGAGTCTAAAGATTGAATTACAAGAATAAAGAAGTAACAGTCAAAAATACAGAGTAAATAATATAGTTAGGCTTTATGAGAACAATAAGAATTATGCCACAAATGCTGGAAGTTAAATGGGATACTTGGGAAAGATGATCAGAGCATATTATTATTGTTTTGTTTTCCAGTTTAAAATCTAAAAACTATATATTTAGAGGTTCTGATATCGTGTGAATGTCTATTTGAGAAGTCAGAACAGTTACTGTTCTATACCAAATACCTTTAAAAGTTTCTCCTTAGAATTACATTACCTGGGCTGGGGTTGTGGCTCATGGGTAGAGCGCTGGCCTAGCATGTATGAGGCCATGGTTCAATCCTCAGTACCACATAAAAATGAATAAATAAAATAAAGGTATTGTGTCCAACTACAGCTACAAAATAAATATTTTAAAAAATATATTACATTTCCTGGAAAGCAGACAGAGGATGGAGTTGGGAGAAGGACTTCTAAAATTATTTTTGATTTACTATTAAATTTTATTAGATCTGTTGCCTAATTTTCTAGGTTACTCTGAATCATCTCAAAAACGTGGACCAGGTTATTTAATTCCATAATTATTGAGTACTTGCCATTTTCTTGGTATAGTTTCCAAATGTTAAATTGAAAAAAATATATATATACATTCATTCTGGTGATTGAACCCCAGGGTGTTTTACCACTGAGCTGTGTCCCCAGCCCTTTTTATTTTAGTTTTTAAAAGTTGTTAAAAATATTTTTATCAGTTGTTAATGGACCCTTTTTTTCCCCTAATTTACTTATGAATATGTGAGAATCAAACCCAGTGCTTCACACATGCTAGGCAAGCACTCTACCACTGAGCCACAACCCCACCCCTATTTTTTTAAATTTTGAGAAGGCTCTCAGTTTCTGAGGATCTCACCACATTTCTGACATAGGTCTTAAACTTGTAATCCTCCTGCCTTAGCCTCCCAAGTCACTGGGATTATAGGTGTGTACCAACACACCAGGCTAAATTGAAATTTATTGAATTGGACATATAGTTCTTTCTAAGATTTTATCCTTTTCAAAGTATTGGGGATGCTGACCTAGACTTTTGTCTTGTAAGACACTGCCTAAAAGTCTTAGCATATCATTACTTTATTATTTCTTGTGGTTGTCTTCACTTTGAAATTAGTGTTACATGTGTACTTCAAGAGTGAATATATTTCTGTTAGTTTTGATTGACTTTTTAAAATTTAAATTTTTATTTTTTTTGATTGACTCTTAATGCTTTGCTGTTCATTTTTGTGGTACTAGCTTTCAAACCTATGGCCTTATATGTGTTAGGCAAGCTCTCTGCCACTGTGCTAAATCCTTGGCCCATTAATTGTTTTCTTTTTTTTTAATTTTAGTGGTAAATATGCCTGTTAGTAAATTATCTAGGTTATGCAAAGGGCCACAACTTGAAAATGATCATGATAGCATAAGATATAGGAAGGTCATTGTCCATGTGTAACAGAACTTTTAGTTTCTTTGAAATAAGTCTTAGATAAGGCAAACCTGATGTAGTAATCTTTTTTACTAGACTCCCCTTGTGGCTATGCTAGAGGATGTTAGGCTGTCTGAGAATTAAATGGTGACACAGAGAAAAGTAGGGCTTGCACCTGAAAGATAATGACTTCTTACACCCCTTTAAGGCTTGACTCATGCAGTTCATGAACTTTTTTATTAACCCAGTGGTATGCAATGTATATACAGCTTTTTTATTGAATAAATAGATCAGTCAATAGTATTAGTATAAACTAGTAGCCCCAGATCTTCCCAAATATGACTTTACATTGTATTTTAATACTTTTTAGGGTCTGGAGGTAGAGCTTAGTGGTAGAGCAAAACCTGATATGCCCAAGACTCTGGGTTGGATCCCCAGCATTAAAAATAAAACAAAAGCAAAAATACTTTAATACTTTGTGTAAATCATAAAGGAACCCAGGCATGGTGGCCCAGGCCTGTAATCCAGCAACTTGGGAGGCTGAGGCAGAAGGATCACAACTTTGAGGCCATCCTGGGCAGTTGAGTGAGACCCTTTCTCAAAATATAATAATAATTTTAAAAAGGTGGTAGAGCATCACTGGATTCGGTCCCCAGTACCACAAAAACAACCAACCAACCCTAAAGGACTATCTACTTGAGCAGAAGAATTATTGTTGTCTTTATCATTATCATTAAACCAGTTTCTGGTTGAAGGAGGATTATTACTTTTTTCCAGGAGACCAGACTGTGAATGTTTCTGCTCTATGGGGTGAAACCTTATCTCTGTATTGCTCTGGGGAAACATAAGGGTAAAAAGAAAGAAATAGTGGGAGAGAGAGAGAGAGAGAGAAAGAGAGAGAGAGAGAGAGAGAGAGAGAAAAGGACTCTCTTAGAGCTTTCTCTTTTATACTATTTACTTCACTTGAGTCATTCCTTGTTGGAAAATTTATAGTTAGAGATTACCTGATATCACATTATCTAGACTAAGTAGCTTTTTAACTTGGTCTCATCATTGCTAGTTTTTTTTTTTTTTTAATATTTATTTTTTAGTTCTCGGCGGACACAACATCTTTGTTGGTATGTGGTGCTGAGGTTCGAACCTGGGCCGCACGCATGCCAGGCGAGCGCGCTACCGCTTGAGCCACATCCCCAGCCCTCGTCATTGCTAGTTTTACTTTGTTACCTTAAATCTTTTCAGACTAACCTAACTAAAGTTCCAATCACGTTACTTTGTTTTCTGTAATCTCCAGGGATATCCCTTCTAACTACTTATTTCTTTGACAGTAATCTTAGAAAATAGATGTATTAGAGTGATAATAGCATCTGAATTTTTGTTGGCTATTACTTTGTCTTTAAAATAAAGACTTTGCCCAGCAGTGAGAAGTGCTCTTTTACTTCTCATTGTGATTATACATGTATTTATGTTTATTTCTTAGTAAAGTCCATAAAATGATTTTATCATGAACTTCTGTCTCCTTGAACTGACTTATAGGGTATGTCTTAGAATACACTGTTCATATGTGTACTTGTGTAAATGAGTCTGTATCATTATATGATATGTGTATTTGAACTCATGGCTTTGTTTTGTACTGTTATTTTTGAGTTACATATTTATTCATGATACTTGACTGAAGAGTGATAATCAGCTAGAAATAGAAGATGCACCTGTGGTTAAAATGTATCTCTATTACTAAGTAAAAATTTAGGCCAGTATTAATTTTTATCCATTCTTAACCAAAATGTTACCAGAGGAGTATTTTAGAATTATCTTAATTAGCATAAGCAGTGTGCTTAACAAATGTAATGAGACATTATAGAGGTGATATGCCTTTCACAATAGGCCTTAAGCACCCTCAATATGATCCTATTTTAAAGATATTGTCTCATCATTATTCTTAATTTCCTGTCATAATTTGAAAATGAATAATAATGAAAAGGAAAAATGTTTCTATTTTCCAGATGTTTTGGGCTGCAGATTCATTGATTACTAGTCAAAAATTCTGTGGCATGAAAACCTACAGTTAAAAAAAAAAGCAAGGGAGAAAGTTGCAAATTAACAAATGAGCAGGGTTTGTTGGAAAGGTAGCGCTTATACTCTTATTAGTTGGCACTGAGACTGAAGAAAGCTATAGAGGCCTTACAGAAAGAGCCTTTAGAGGTTATTGAATACAGCCCACCATTTTAGGATGTCATGTTTTTCTATGTCATCCTTGTCTACTAGGTATCTAGCTTAAGAATTTATGATGGAATGGTCACCGTCCAATATGGCCACTTCTGGAATAGTTTCAGTGTTTTTATTCAGTTCCTCCTTATTTTGAGCTGCAAAAGCAGCGTACTCATGACTTGTACCCATTTGTCCTATTTGTGGTTTCTAGAACAACTTTATAAAGTAGAGCCTTTTGCGCGCGCGTGCACACACACATACACATATATATTTTTTTCATATACATATGGTTTAAACAAGATGGATATTCATTGGACAAGGATGCTATTTAAGATTTTTCTTATCTTTTACTCATGTAATTTACTTTGTTCTACTTAGGTGTAGGACTACAGAGTGCTGAGTAGAAAGATGTTTGACTGACAGGAAACTTGTCACTGCCTTCATCAAGTTATTTCACATCTTTGAGCCTAAGTTTCCTAAAGGGATGAAACACAATTACTGTGTAGGAACCATAGTCTATTTGTTTGTTGCCAAAAAATGAGATTATAGGATTGACCCATTCCTGTTTTTTTGCCATAATTTCTTACATTTGGGTCAGGAACTGTATCTGCTTTCTTCTTAATGGAATAGTCCAATTAGTAATGAGATAGGACAACTTTTTATAAAATCTAGAAAACATAACTGCCATTTATTCAAAGTAATATCTAGAAGTCAACATAAAAGGACTGAGAGTGCTAGGAGATCATTTGTTTGTTTTGCTTTTATTTTGCCTTTTCTTTCATATTCGGTGGTTCATGATGTGGGTATTGATACCATCTTACAAACTGGAAGGTTTCTATAAATATTTGCGTAAAGAACAGTTAAAGATTAAGGCAAGATCTTTTTTTCTGACTCTGGCAGGTCATTGTTCTCAGCCAGAAGGCACAATTATCCTACTATAACTGAAGCTGTGGATTCACTGTAAATTTAAACCTTTCTCCATGCATGTGAACAAAATTCTTGATTCTCTATAATGATTTTGAATGAGATGTAAGATACTTTTTTGTAAAGTATTATAAAACTGAATTAAGAAATTTGGAAATGTGAAAAGCATTGGATTGACTTTCATGGTTGATGTTTCAAGAAAAAAAATCCCAGAATATTAAAACAAGAATAGTGTTTCCTTGGGCCTATGGGCATCATATTGGGTAAATACTGATCCTGAACTCAAGGTTCTAGTTACCTTTTAGTTTTCTAAGAAATATGACTCACGATGTTCCCTTTCACTCTGTCCCTCTAAAAAACCGACCTAAATTTATTATTTTTAAGTCTCTCAATTGGTAAAAATATAATGGCCAAGAGAAATAACATGACTATCAAATACCAGACTCAAAACTTATTAGAGAATTTCGGATTAGTCCTTTGTATACTAGGTGTAAAATAAATCACAAGTTATGTTTTGTTCCTAAGGATTTCTGGGGATGAAATGCTGTACAGACAAGCAAAGAAAAGCAGGAGGATAAATTCATCACTTTAAATAATACATATTTTCATATGAAATTAAGCCAAATCAAGAAGTATTTGAAAATGAAAAATAAATTGAGAAATAAGTGATTTAAAAAAAATTTATTCTCGTTTTCTTGAACCTGGATTAAGATTGTGTAACCAAATGTTAGTTTCTCCCTTTGGGCACTTGGAGGTGTCATAACTTGAGACTGGTAGCATTTTATTTTTCAAAAGACATAGTTTCTTGGGGTTGGGGCTGGGGCTCAGTGGTAGAGTGCCTGCCTAGCATTTGGAAGCCCTAGGTTTGATCCTTAGCACCACATACAAATAAATCTGTCAAATAAAGGTATTGTGTCCATCTGCAACTAAAAATATTGAAAAAAATAGTTTCTTGCAAAGGTCACATTGACTTTTTTCTCCCCTATGGACTATAGATATACTATCCAGCATAGTAACTACACAGACCTATATGTGGCTGTTGAACACCAAAAGTGTGGCCAGTCCAATTTGAAATTACTGAAAGTATAAAAAGTATACACCAGATTACAAATCTAAGCATGAAAAATATTTCATTTTTAGATATTTATTTTTAAATATTACCTATTGGAATAATATTTTGAATATATTGTGTGAAATGAAATTTTATTGAAATGAATGCCACCTTTTAAATTTTCTAATGTAGTTACTAGAAAAGTTAAAATTACATACGTGGGTCTCATGTTTGTATTAGCTGACACTATTCTAGAGCCAGGGCTCTCTAATTTTGAGGCATAGGATTGATTCAGAATTAAGAAAATTAAATATCTTCCAATGAAGGTGACATGCCACACTTGCTGAACCTAATATGAAATCTGGCACTCATATATGGAATTCATTCTACGTTTGTTGAGGTATTAGGAGACAAACCATACTGTAACTGAGCAGGGAAGGTTAAATATAAAGAATCATTACCTTATAACATGGAATTAACTATTAATAATATTAATTATTAACATTAAAATAGTTTAATATTAACTATTAAAAGTAAAAAGAATTCTAAGGATATAGGAAGACCAAATAATGCGAGCAGCCACTATCACTAGGTACTGAGGAAAAGCATTGTAGAATGGAATAAATTTGGAAGAAGTGTTTTTCATCCTGTGGTGAAGGCCCAGGCTTTCTTAGAAAGACCACAATTTTGGCTATATGAAGAGAGAGAAGTTTGGGGCAATACCAAAAGCTGCGGGGGAAAATGTGTTGTCACTGTGTTAAGATGCTTTTTGTTCTTTCTTTCTTTGATTGTTATATACATTTTAAATAGTGTGGAACCAAGATCAAATATTTTAAGATTAGATTATGTTAGAAAGTCTAGATATGTGATAAGTATACACAACATACCAGTTAGAGTCTTTCATTTTAAAATGTCTGTCTTCTCTTGACTTCTGTTTTCTCTTTACTTTTTAAACAGTATTAAAAATGGGTAGCCAATTTGCAGTAGAAATGCTTTATTGCTTTTGCTTCTTTCATCTAAGTTTTCCTTACTGCTTTGTTTATTCCTGGGTAGTGTTTGACTACAGTTACAGAGATTACATTCTCTCCTGGTATGGAAATCTCAGCAGAGATGAGGGGCAGCTTTACAATCTGCTTTCGGAAGACTTTTGGGAAATTGCCAGACAGCTGCGACACAGATTGAGTCACGTGGATGTGGTTAAAGTTGTCTGCAATGATGTTGTAAGAACTTTACTCACTCATTTCTGTGACCTGAAAGCTGCTAATACCAGGTAACTGATAACATGAGAACCACTCCCCTTTTCCACATCAAAAAGATTTTTCTTGAATAATAAAGTCAAGCCATACTATAGAATATTCTGCCTCTTGCTGGCACTTGAGTTGAAAAAGCAGATGTTTTGAGGGGGAATAATTATAGTGTTCTGATAGAGTAGATTTTGGGGATAATTTTCTAATAGGTGTATTTAATTTTGTAAATAACTTAAATAGTGAAATAAATTTCACTGAACCAGTATCATGATGAACTTACTTATGGTATTATAAATATCTAAGCATAGAAAATTTTAAATATTTTAAAATGTGATCAGTGTCAATGAGTTTATAAATTTTGGAAAAATGTGAATATTGTTCATTTTATTTTTGTGACTCCTATGTTAACAGCTGAATTGCAGCATAATATCCTGAAAACTGTCTTTTAAAAGAACTTAAATTTGGAGCTGCAGTCTCTAATTAGATAATTTGTTTCATTATGAAAATAGCTAATATATAGATTTGTTAGCCTCTTGTGCTATTACGTTGAAAAGATCTATCTGTACCTATTAGATGAGAAGGTGAGAACCTGCCCATGAAAGAAGACTTCAACAAGACCATTTCTGTGCAAATAACAAATTCAGGTTTGCTGATAGGATCTTAAATTTATATCTTACTTAAATTTATATCTTATGCTTGAATAAGTGCAAGGATAATGCATTATAGCACTTCTAACTTGCTTATAAATATGAAGCAAATAGCCCTGTGCTTGCTTGGGTGTGGACTTGTTTGCAGTAGGAATGGAATTACCTATAGTTAATATGGCTTAGTCTTACTTTCAGGGAAGAGATAAAATATTGAAAGTATACAAGGAGATGAGTCAGCATCAGCATCCTTATTGGGCAGGTGGTAATTCACATTTTCTTCTCAGAAGCTCTGTTGTTTGACTTTATCAGAACCAGTTCCTATTCTGTCTTGTGATGTTGTCCTTGTAGTGGTACCTGGTTGCTAAATGTGGGTTGTGCAGCAGGTCTTTATGTTCAAATTCCAGAGGAATTACATGCCTACTCTTTTTCAGCTTGCTGCCCCCATGGTTTACAAACTTTAATCATAATGCATAGTGAGAAATACATTTTAAATTGTGGCACACTTTTATGAAATGGTGCTGTTATCACCAGTGATAACTTTGGTGTCATTTGTTCTTGACACTTTTTTAAAATGTTGTTTGAGATCAATTCAGTTTTATTGTGTTACTTCTTGATCACGACCTGTGGTTTAAAAAACATTACTGTAGAGCAATGGCTCTCAGATTTTTTGGCCTCAGGATTTTTCAACAATCTTAAAAGCTATTGAGAACCTCAAAGTGCTTTCATTTATGTGGGTCATATCTAATGGCCTGCTGGAGCCAACTACTGGCGTGCAAGAGCTGATTGTGCACATCTCTTCCTGACTCAGTTCAGTGAAGTCCTTTTGTTGCCTTGGAATCAACTGTTTACACAGTGGGATGTTTTAAATCAGAATTTTTTCCCATGGAGAAACAGTTGTTAAACATTTACCAGCACCACTCAACATATCTATTAATATTTACCACATTAGATATTAAACCCAAGAACTTTTTAAAGTACAAGAGGATACCGTACACTTTCCATTTGTTATCAGAATGATGATGTCATTGCACATCATGCAGCCTCTGGAAAATTCCAGTACACTTGTGAGAATATGAGTGAAAAATAAAAAGGCATTTTTATATTCCTATGAATATAATTTTGATATCCTAGAACTGAGGGTCCTTGAGACATGTAGAAGTCTCTGGACCACCCTTGTAAACCAGTGTTTGTAAGTGAAGATAACTTTCAATAGTGGGGTTGTGTTCACTGATAAGGAAAATGAGAGAAATTGGACTCTTGGGTCATTCCCCTAGAATATCAGTGGCTTCCACCTCTCCTTTAGAAGTGTTCATCAATCTTTGGAGCACCTGCTATATAGTATCCACTACATAATTATGCCATACAGATGTTATAAAAGACTTCTTTGAATTCAGTGGAAGCACATTTGAAAGTAATTAATTGTAGTCTAATAGAGGACAGTATTTTAAATCAATGTTTATGCCACTTAGAAGAACAATAGAGTTTAGGGCAAGTGTTTCAAGACATTTATTGTTTTTATGATTATCTAGTTTCAACATGAGAATATATTTTTCATTGAGATATTTACCAACTTCTGAAATTACTGTTTTTGAAGATAATATAAAGATAGTTATAGGAACAGCATCAAAGAATTAATTCCAGATTAAAAGCTCTGTGTCTTTGGGCCTCATAAAAGTTCTCTTATGTGAAGGGGAGATTTTCTAGGATATTCCTAGAAGCTCTAATTGATGATAAAAAATAAAGAGTAAAGAACAAAACAAAAAACTCTATCACTATTCTTAGAGTTATGGGTAGTAGCAAAAGTGCCAGTAGGTCACTGATGTTTTGTATATAAATAATTGCGTTCTAGAGAACTAATATTATCTGTTTATCATCTTATACAAACCACATAGTGAGATTGGCAGACAGTGACTCTAGGATTGATGATTATAGCTGTATCTAGCTGTCCCAGGTAAACAGCTTCAATAGAAATCTTCACTGGTCTGCATATCTCTGTTGGCTACAAAATAACTTTGGTAGCCTCTGGAACACCTAATCAAGTTGTCCACTATCAGACAAAAGAATAATAAATTACATTAATAAAGCAACACATCCTCAGTTTGACTGTGAGGGAATTGTATAAAGGCTGCTTTCTGGTCAGTCTGTGTTTATTTCAGGCTGTTATTCTATTGGCTGCTTTAGGCCAATCCAGATCACCTTTAAGTCTTGCCTCTGCTTCCTTTTCCTTGATCCCATCTGTCATGTTTCAGCAAATTTCAGGAAAATCTAAAAATGATTGCATTTATACCATTAATTCAGTAGCATCTTTAATTTCATGTTCTCCTTACAATATGTGTTCTCTTTGCAGGTCAAGTACTGGCATGTTGTTTGAGGAAAAGTGTTTTTATATATAAATGTTTTTCATATATTTTTCTTCTTTATCATTGATGCTTTTTTCCCCCTTTACCCTTAGCCATCTTTGTGGTATAAAGAGTTAATTTGAAAGAACAGAACTAATTTCTACCATTCGTCACCTCTGTGACTATTGTCAATCTCTTAACCTTTGGATCTTAGTTTTCTCACCCATAAAATGGTGGTGATGAAATATTTCTTAATGTATAAGGGAGGATTAAGCAATATTGTACATATGAAACTTACAAAAGGTTAATGTGCTTTTGCTTACACGAGAATGAGAACCCTGAAATAAGTAGCAGGACCTGCAGTAAACACATGATTGATTCACACTGGTAGGGGTAGGAAGCTGCAAAAAACAATGTTACAACCTACCTGAAGGCTGGCTAGACATTTCCTACTCTAGACATTACCCTCACATAGCCACGTCTGATCATTTCTTGGCTTCTAATGCTATGCTAGATGTCCACTTACTAGAGAGCATCACAGGAATATCCTGCTTGCAGACAGAGTCTAGGGAAATCTTTGAGGAACATTTTTCCATAGATCAATCTTACTTGACCAGTCTTCTGGTCTTTGGCTGACTCAAGAAAAATTTTTCCTAACTCCTTAGGAGGGAGTAGAATTTGTGGCCTTCTGAAGACCAATTTCCTTTTATTATCTGCCTTCCATTGATATGGACAAGGAATGGTATACACTTTGAGAGGGATTTTGATATTATATTTAAATAAGCTTTTCTTATAAAAGTGTGTTTTCTTTTGGCCAACCTATTTGAATTAACATTCAAATATAGGTTTCAAAGCAAAGAATTACCTTTAAAAAGTGTTTGATATGACAAAGGAGTAGCATCTTAGTCTTACTATATTGAAATATCAGGTCTAGCTGGCAGCATAACTAGAGTTTAAAATAATTGAAACTGCCATTTTAAAAAAAAGTCAGCATACATTAGTGTACACATAAAGGCTCACTCCTAGAATCTCTTTTTGTATTGTTGGCTTTGCACATTAGGGTAGAATTCCTCTTGATTATTGTAGAAGACAGAGAGAAAATCATTCTTTTTTTTTTTTAAGCATACAAACTCTAGAAATATGTCTCCAGTCTTCTAGTGCAAAATGAAATCACAGTTACTGTCCCAAGAGACGTTGGTCATAAAGCCACCAACATGCACTTTCATATTTGTTTGATTCTCTCCCACTATATAGGGTTTTTTCTCTCTCAGTATTGGCCACTATAAGTCACTATAAGAATCTTTTACTCTTTGTCCCTTATTTAGAAGATACTAGAAAAATTAGCATTTCAGGGCTGGGTTTGTGGCTCAGTGGTAGAGCTCTTGCCTAGCATGCATGAGGCTCTGGGTTTGATCCTCAGCACCACATATAAATAAATTAAATAAAACAAATAAAGGTAGATCAACAACTAAAAATATTTTTAAAAAGTAGCATTCCAGTTGCTGTCAAGTTACTATGAAAAAAAGCATAGAAAGTTTTTTTCTACGAAAATTCTCCAGATTAATGGTCCAGAGATGGGGTCAGTGCTGCCAGGAAATCCACAGCCAAGGTTAGAAAGTATTTGGAAACCTCACAGAAAGCAATTTTACATCATATTTAATAGCATCAAATTATGGACCTTTTCTTCACTTAGAAACACCTGCAGATTTTTTATCTTATGACTTTCCAGTCAAGAAAACTGCCTAGTAACCCTATTTATGTGTCATCATTTGTTTTTTTAATTTTGAAAAATGAAGCTGATGATCACATTTAAGAAGAAATCTAGAAGATTTTAAAATAATGTAATTAAAGAAATACTCACACCTGTTTGGATTGTTGCTATGATTTGGGAGTTACCTATAAACTTTGATGGTATTTCAGATAGTTATCATTTATTTTGAAATCCCAGAAGGCTATACATTTGCATTTATCACAGCCCAGATTTTCTAGATTAGTCTCAGATTAATGAAATTATTGATTATTGGTATTGTCAAGGAGGTGGCAGAGTTATAATCAATGTGTTGTTCATTTGAAAAGCTTCTTAATCTAATGGTTTATAACTGAATTGTTTCTGGAATTTCTTTGCTTCCTTTTCACTTTCTTCATTTAATTGTTCTTTTAGACATGAAGAACAGCCAAGGCCTTTTGTGTTGCATGCATGCTTAAGGAACTCAGATGAAGAAGTAAGATTTTTACAAACATGTTCTCGGGTTCTGGTGTTCTGTCTACTCCCATCAAAGGATGTCCAGTCTCTCAGCTTACGTATAATGCTCGCAGAAATTCTCACGATGAAAGGTAGACTTATAAAATTAATTTACAATTATGATAAGTTTGTAAATTAATGTGCTATATACTGTGATTACATTTTAACACTTGTGCAAACCTCATTTACTGTGGGACATATGGATAATAAAGTAGTATTTTGCCGCAGTCTTGGCTGGGCACAAGATCACGAGCCACTCATAGCTTTGTAGATTCAAACAGCAATTCTTTATTCCCGAACTCACACCGGCCCTCTACAAACATGTTCTGGGGAAATCCCAGTTCTGCCCTCACAATTCACGTCCCAAATACTTCCTGAATTCCATGAGAACTCAATGGGAACTCAGGCAGCAGGAACGCCCTATTCCCAGCAGGAATAACCTTCAACCTGGAACTGCCTTAAACCCAGATTATCTTAAACCGGGAACGCCTTAAACCCAAATTATCCTAAACCAGGATACTTCCTAAAACCTGCAGGATACACCTAAACCTGGATCCACCCTCGTCCTTGAGCAGGGTCACCTTTCTCAAACACACATGCAATGTCACAGCAAATTTCCAAGGCAAGTCCATTTAACATGGGGTACGCTGGCAAGGAAATTTCGATGCGTCATTCCTACTTGGCAATGGCCCTCAGCAGTATTTTAGAAATTTCAAGCTTAATTGTCATTCAGAGAAAACATTTGGCCTTACGTGATAAACATAAATTTTTTATATTATATATATTGTAAAATGCACAGTCCATTCTGCTGTTTATTTTGACAAGAAAACCAGTCCTTATGCTCTCCACTGCAAAGCATTCACTTGGGATAGCCTTTGAGTTTTCCAGGCCAATAATGTATGCGTTATAAGATTAATTGATATTGCCTACACATAGTCTGTGAATTTGGGATAACTAAAAATGGTACTGTGCCACAATATGACCTAAAAGAACCTTTCCCTGTCTCAGAATCTCAAACAAATAAGGAGAGAAGCACTGATTGTATATCTCATTTATGTCAGGATTAGCCAGCTATGCCCATCAACTGGTACAGCCAACCACAGAGAAAAGGGGAACTTTTTAATCTACAGTAAGTGGGATGGATTTGTAATAGTGTTATTGATTTTTTCTAACAACTTCCTCCATGAAGTCTGCTTTGACCAGTTAAGTAGAAGATTTTCATCTTTTGGCAGACTAAACTGGTCAAAACAAAAATTAATGAGCCTTATAAAAGAAATATAAGAAAAAGAAACAGTACTTAATTTTAATATCATTATTAGTGATTTGGGTTTTCGATGACTTCTTTTCATTTACATTTCACTCACTTATTAAAATGACCACTTGATTGTATCTATATATATGGTAACTTATTCAGAGGGATAAGCAACTTTGAGTGTGTGTGTGTGTGTGTGTGTGTGTGTGTGTGTGTGTGTGTGTTTATGTACAAGCATGCTTATATATGCACACATACCTGCATGCATGTGCCTTTTTATATATTTGAGCTGTTTATAATTTCCTCCATTTGACTTGTTGAAAAATGTTTTCCCGAATGTAGTTTCAACTATGAAATATGAAGACAATTCCTTCAGAAGAATATCTTTTTCCATGATGTTTTCTTCTCATTTCCATAGTCTTGAAGCCAATAGTGGAGTTATTGAGTAATCCAGATTACATTAACCAAATGCTGCTTGCCCAGTTGGAGTACAGAGAACAGATGAATGAACATCACAAGAGAGCCTACACCTATGCTCCCTCTTATGAAGAGTTCATCAAGCTCATCAATGGCAACTCTGATGTAGAATTCTTGAAGCAGCTAAGGTATTTGGTCTTTAATTATGGCACAATAATAGCTACTAGTTATTTCCTAAGTAGGTATACATGTATATATGTATTATATATACATAATATATATGTATATATTTGTCAGATAAGCAGAAATAAATAAATAAAGTCCATAAATTTTACCATTTAGTGACAATTACATTTATCCAGCTTCTTCTTAACAATGGAATTAGAATTAGATTTTTCCAATAATTAAGTTGTAATAGATTGAAAGTTCTTCACTTGTTAGGAATCCCTTATTAGCCACTCAGATGCTATCCCCCAAAAAGCATTTAAAGGAAATGATGTGTTTTTAAATTACAATGTTGAAAGAATACTGTTGGTTTTCATTTTTCTGGGAAATGCAGAGACTCAGTTCTGGGGATAAGGGGTTCTTAACTAATTATTTTAAGAAATCACATTAGAAAATATCAGAAGTCTCTTATAGGGGAACATGTATCCCTAAGATATTTTCAGGGTGACCATATTTTTTTTCTTCTATAATACACACACACACACACACACACACACACACACACACACAGTATAATTATATAGCATTTTCTAGTCTGTGGATTTGCTAGGCTTGTTTTCTATGCTTACCTTTCTGTTTGTTCACAAATGTTACATAGGAAAAGGAAAGAAAACTCTGTAGTGTCAATTTTAATTTTCATTAGTACTTTCAGTAAATCACTGACGTAAAAGTAAAATATTGACTAAAATTGAATCTTTGAACTATTCAAGGATTTTTAGATTGGCCACATTTGCCTTTGAACTGGGGTTCACATAAGGTGACTTATGCTATTTAACTTACTGGTTGAAATAGTAATTTCATAAAAGACTCATTGTAGATGGCATTGTATTCTTATGGAGTGTATCATGTTAATCTTGATCATACAAATGTGTTATGATGAGTTTAGTGATAAGATTTTCTTTAAAAGTGATTAATTCTTTTGGACCATAATATCTGGATATTTTATTTATCCTTCTCCTTCTACAAATAGTCTTAAATGAAATGTGCTAAATGGTAATTATTTATTATAGATTTGTGATTATTTGTATATGAATCCAGAAATTTCATTTTGAGAAGTGAGACACATATTTGTCATCTGGGGCTTGTAGATTATACCTACCCAAAGGTCTTCCTTATCATGGCTTCCTTTGATTCCTTTTTTAAAAAAGAGCCCAAATAACATGCTCTTGGTCATGCACTCCAAGCTCTGGTTCTGAGGATGCCATTCAGACCTGTGCTCCAATATTTACCCACCTGTTGCATTTATGCCCACGTCCCAGCAGTCACTTTCTGCACCGCACCCCCAACCAACAGCCCATGGCAATCTACTTTCTGTTTTGATGAATTTGCCTATTTTGGACATTTCATATAAATTGGAATAATTCAATATGTATATGGTTTGACCAAAGTAGCATATGCTGACCACTCTAAGACATTGTTTAGAAGCAGATACCTCATGTTCATAAATTGTGGGTGCACTGAATTCCTAAGCATTTTTTCCCTGGTAAATGATCCACAGTAAAGTCAAACATGGACCATTTGGTAACACCAAGTAAGTTTAAGATAATTTAAAGTCAATGGTGGCAGATTAAGTGAGTAAGTATTCATTATTCTTCCAAACTTATGAATGAATTTTATATTTTATATGTCAAACATATATTTTATATGCCCTGTTCACATGGTGAAATAGTGATACTAACAAAAATGTATAAAAGATATTTTTGAATGTTCAACTGTTGGTTCTCCAGCACCATCTGTCATTTTGTATTTGAGCACAATTTCTATGTGAGAAGATGAATGAATCTTGATAAGAATTAATAGTTTCTCTTCTTCAAAATATACTAACCAGATGCTTAGAACTATTTGAATACTGCATTTCAACATTTGGCAATAAAGAGGTATCTCAGTAAGAGTTGGCCCTTTAAATGATAAATTGGTATCTGCTGCCCCAGGATCATTGAATAACTTGATTTGGCTACAATAGGAAAATCATGCCTTAACTGGGTGACCAAAAATTACAACAGATCTTACATTTTCTCTTTCCCATCTGATATGTGATGAAATGAAAATGGTGTTAGCATTTCAATCTTCCTTTTCACTTCATAAATAAGGCAACATTGTGGAACAGCATAAAGGGAGTTCTAGGAACCAGGCCCTTTGTTCAGTTTTGAGACAACTAAGGGACAGTAGAAATGCTTGTTTCAAAAATTGAGAAATAATTCACAGATAATTAAGTTCACCATTTAAAAGTGTATACTTCAGTAGTTTGTAGTGGGTTCAAAAATTGCACAACTAATATCACTGTATAATTCCAAAATATTTTCATCACTCTCAAAAGAAATTCCTATGCCCATTAGCAGTCACTTTCTATCCCACCCCCCGAAGCCCTTGGCAATCTCTAATCTGCTTTTTGAATTTGCCTATTCTGGATATTTTATATAAATGGAATCATGCAGTGTGTGGCCTTTGGTGTCTGGCTTCTTTCACTCAGTATGTTTTTAAGGTTCATCCATACTACAGAATGTATCAGTACTCATTCCTTTTTTTGGCTGAATAATATATGTCATTGGATGAATATATCACATTTTCTTTATCCATTTATCAGTTAACAGACAATTTGTCTTGCTTACACTTTAAAGAATGCCTTTTGAGTGACCACTGAGCATCTTCAGGAGCATTTCAGTAGCATTCCCAATGACTCTTAGTAAATGAAAGTAAAATAAAATGTGGATTCTAACCTGTTCCTACTACTACCTACCCCAGTGTGCCTATCACCAAGAAGAGATGGAATACAGACACCAGGAAGGAATATTCCTCTTATGCATTGTTACTGATCTATGTATGTTATTCTCTTTTGTGTCTTTCATCATACTCTTTGACTTTGCATTTCTAGCAGAGTTTACTAAGTCAGTGGAGAGAGCAGCTAGAAGTATTTTGATGATTAGATAATCAAGAATGTCATTCTACTAGAAGAAAAATACATTTTCAGGTCTAATTAAGTAGGTATGATGACTTAGTCCAGTTTAAATGGCAATATTGCTGACTTCTAAACCTTTATAAGTTTTCAGTTCCTCATGTAAGTCTTGGGGTATGTGTTCATGACTTCCTCTAGAAACTTCTCTAGTAATAAGGGGTTGAAAGAGAACTTTCCTTGAAAGTGTGATATGCATCTCAGATATGGGATTATGGTACTCTGAAGAATTTATAGTCCCTGAAACAAGCTTGGCAAAGAACCTTGGGAGAAAATACCATGGAATGCATTTTTCTCAATAATAGATATATACCTCCAGAGTTACTTTCTGAATAGTTTTGTAAATACTCCGTAGAGTCTTCCTCTGGACCTATGTTTGTGATACAGCTTCTTGGGTTTTGCAATATAGTAGAATTCCAGGCAGTTCTATTTGATAGGGCACTGGGATATCTGTTATTCATGGGGCATTTGTCCTTATTCCTTGCATCTTAAGAATAGACCTGAGGGCTAACCTCTGTTCTCTATTTCAGGCACAGCTAAGTAGAAAGGCTACCAGGAATGACTATAATTATAGAGATTGATCTTTTTGCTCCAAAATGTAGATGATGTTACATAAATTGATAGTCAGTATTGCTTTTTATTATATTCTTGTCTTAAGTCTACCTTACTGAGACTTATCAGCCTCCCAGCATTAATAGCATTGCTTTCTTCAGTCATAGTCTGAATACCCTGTTGTTTTTCTGGCTTAGAGTACTCTGCTGTCTGACTTTATTAGCATTTTAGGTCACTATTTTCAAATTGCTGTCAATAAAATTTTGGAATAAGCTGCCTCAGGCAGGGAGTATGTTTTATTTAGACTAAGCAGTTAATGAAATCATCCACTTTTATTTCCCACATATTTGGGAGACAGATGCATGTTTTCTAAAGGAAATAATCATTCCACTCTGCTAGGATGGAATGCATTGAAGACAAAATAAAATAAAGAACCATGAAGGTGATAATTATAGTTCTGGGATAATTTAGTAATTTTCTGTGTCAGCATGAGATGCTTTCATAGTAGGATTATACAGCTAGAAATGCTTCCTTCAAATATACTAAATGAGTTGTTTTTAACCCTGATCATAGAGTCACCTAGACTTTAATAAAATTACAGTTAAATATTCCACTGTCCTTTTTAGCTACTTCCTTTTCTTTTTTAGTATCCAGGAAGTTGAAGTGAAGATGTGGTTCAATATTTTGAATTTTCCATGGTTTTATAGTAGGAGCAGTGTTGAACACTGCCAAAACACAGGAACCAAAAATGTGAATGCTGTCTTGGCACAGGATATTAATGGGCAGCTGGATAGATTTCCTTCTGCTGGTGTGGGTGATGGGGTAATATCACAGTCCGGAAAGGCAAACCCGAGCTTAGAATGAAGGTGCAGCCATTAGTGAAGCTCAACAGTTAGAATCATACTAGAGAAAGTATTAAGTATTCCCTTATATTGAAGATAAAGTGGAGTCAGTATACAAGAAGGGAAGATGAAAGGTTCTGCCCTTATAGAACTTTATGTAAAGTAGTGGGCAGATTGTGGTCCAGGAAAGCATCCAGTGCCCTCATTGTAATTTTTCAGCATATCTGTAAGACATACTCCACTGAAAATTGTTCACACACACACACACACACACACACACACACACACAAATAGATACCCAAGTGTCACCCTAGGAATTTTATGTGACTGATTTAGAGAAGAACCAAAGCCCCCAAAGTAATCCCAATAAGTATTAATTGGAATATTCTTCCACACATTACCACTGAAGTCTTGCCTAGATATCATATATATTGTAATTCTTTTAAAAGTAGTTTGAGATATATGGAAAGAGTTGAGGATAATATTGATTAGACAGGACCCTTCAGTCTCTACACTTCAGTCTGAACCAAAGGCTTTTTTTGGTTTTTCTTTTTTTTAATCACTCACCTTCCCGAGAGTTATGTTTCACCTAAGGTTTCTCAATCTTTGTAAAATTGAC